ATCTTTATTTTATTATAATTTATTTCATCCCTCAATCAATCATCACCATAAGCATCGAAGTTGGAATCTTAACTGCATCCCCTAGGATCATTTTCGATGATGATGATGATGAGATGATGATGATGTGGAGGATAAACATAGAAAAGAAACAAGGTGACAGGAAAAGATTAAAAAAAATGTTGAAATTAAATGATAAGTTGTTGATACTTATAGTCATTTGCAAAGGATAGCTTAGAAATATTAAAAAAATTTAAAATGAGATTATAAATAACAAAAAATTTAAATAGAAATCTCCTTTTCTAAAGCAACCTCCTTTCATTCTTATTAACTAGCAAAAGATGCCCTAAATTTGTCACTCCAAAAATAAGAAAATTATACTTTCTTTAAAATAATCCCCATCATTCTTTGTAATTAGCATACGAACCCTAAATTTGACTTTGTTGGAGCAAATGATAAGAGTTTTATATTTCATTAAATAATATCCAAGACATTATACTATAGTGCAAAATTCGACTTTAGATGGAAATGAAATGTTGTGTTCATCACTTATTATTTAAAAAAAAAAATTATTAGATTAATGAATTACATCATAGTTACAATTATGGAAGAAATTCCATCTTTGGCTTTTTTAGCTTTTGTTTTTTTTAATGCTCCTAGTAAGGCTTGTATGTGTCATCCAATCTGTTATAGGGATAGGCTTAGCAGTTATAGATGATAGTAAATACTCAAAACACTACAAGGATTTATCCTAACATTTAAGTTAGAGGGAAAAAAAAGGAAAAAAGAGAAACAAAAGATACAGTGCTTTTTTAATGAAATAGAAAACAATTTTAAATTGTTGATAAAAGTTAAAATTTGACTGGAGAGAAATCTTTCTTATCCTCTTTCCTAATAAATCTCTGTCCAATAAACACTATAGAAGAAGATAGGCCCAGACCTTATGATGATGTAAAAAATACTCGGTCATGAGAAATTAGGGCTCAAACTAATCACCAACTTTCTTCTTGATCTGTACCTATCTGTGCTTGTACCTTCAAAACAAGTGAAGTTCTAAAGAGTGAATTTTTGAGAATGCAACTTCTAGTGACAGAAAAAGAAGGCAGAATCAGAAAAAAAAAAGAAGACCTAAACCATAACCCTCAAGTCATACCTGCTCCAACACCATTCAACTACTACCACAACATTTCCAGCCAAAGCACAACAGTTGTGACAAAATCAATAAGCTAAAGAAATATACAATGCCTTTGTTTCATCAAAACACAACTCAGTAACAAGACCAGGCATATCCAGCACATAATATCAGCAGCAGAGTAAAACAAGCATGACAGTTTGACACAGCTCCTGCACGTAACAACACTATGTTGCAAGGAAAATACTATACCAGTACATTGGTAAAGCAAAGAATTCCAGAGGATGAAACAGCATTTGAACAGTAATAGATACCGAAACTTAGGTACAAGACTCCTTAGAAACACATGCTTACTGTTGGTGATGTAACTGACGACGAGCCTGGGCCAGCCACCTTAAGCGGAAGAGACTTCCAGACTCTTGCCTCATCGTCACTGCAGTTTCTGCTTATTTTGAGACCTATGGCTGCCTGGTTCATGTTGCTTGGGTCCTTGGATGCTGCTGACTTAAGCCGGAGCCGCTCAGCCCTCGAACCAATTGTCTGGCCTAAGATTGAAGCTGCTATGGTCAGTGCCATAGCGGTCTTGGGCATGACGACTGACTTCCTGAGCATTGCAATAAATGGCACGGCTGCATGGACTGCAGCAAACCACTGAGGTGAGAACTTTTCGGTATGCTCTCTCCACACACCAAGGGGCACATTCGCAGCCATGCCTAGCAAAGCAATCGCCAACATTTTTGCATGCAACGGCTGAGGACGGAGAGTCTTCACCAGGGCAGTACGAGCTAATGCTGCTCGGACAGCCACCACAGCAGGGGGGCATTTGAGTTTAATTCCAGGTGGTGGCTGTAGTATCTTTGCTACAAGAGGCAAGACACCACTCACTGCTCTATAAGACTTTGCAATTGGGCATTGCCCTGTTCTGAGCCACTCATGGCTTAATGATTCATGTGATGTGCCGCCACCTTCCCTCTGAAACATGTGCACCAAAAGAAAGTGGTTGGGCACAATAAAGTCAAATGATAATATATATGTGCATGTAAAAGAAAGTTTGCATCATTTTCTCTGAAAGTTCAAACAAAAGGAATTTGGTGACTCGATCACTCTAGAAGGGGATGTCAACTCATATACCTTTCATAAAAAAATTTTAATGCGAAAATTTATGGAATTAACAGTCCGGATGATCACATGTGATGATTATATATTTGGACTGTCAAGTAACTAATGTAGCTAATAAATATGCAACTTAATTAAAAATTCAAAATGAGGGATGAATGAAGCAAGAGCAGGTTCCTGACCTGTTGAGAATGATCCTTCTTGGAGGATTTCTTATTCTCGTTCCACTTTTTTGAGAAGAAATCAAAACCAAAGGGTCCTCCTAGGCCAAAAGCTGAGAGACCAATTGAAGCAGCTTTCCCTGCCAAGGGGTTAAACTGCATGACAGGCATAGGTTCCACATTCTCCTCATGCATATATGATTTGCCTGAAAGTGGGACAACTCCATTGTGCCCATGGAAAAGCTTGAATGCCATATCGAAACTGGGTCCATCTTCAAAGATTGGAGCCCTTGCTCCTTGTATCTAGAAAGAAAAATAAAGGAGATAACAGAGCGGGAACATACGTCATCCATGTAACTTCTATCGTAGCATGCAAAGATAGAGCATAAACTTACTGGGAAAGGAGAATTAAAAGATGCTGAGAAGGAAAAGTTTGTTGGCTCATTAATATTCCTCAGAAATGGACACCTTTGAGCATCCGGATGAGAGTACAAATTCTCAGATGACCATGATTCACATAGAAAGCCACCGAAGAGCTCCATCTTTGAGTATGTCTTGTGAGAAAAACAACAATTTATGTCTTTGAGTATGTCTTGTGAGAAAAACAACAATCTTTTGTGGAAAAACAAAAGATAACAACACACTTCCTTCAGCTTTGAAACTTCTAAAGATGCTAGATGCTTACACAAAATTGAGAACAACAACAACAATCTTTCTGCACTGTCTATGGAAAGACAAAAGAAAACAACACACTGCATAAAGTGATCAGCTTTGAAACTTCTAAGTCTAAAGATGCTGGATGCTTCCACAAAAATGAGAACAACAACAACAATCTTTCTGCACTGTTGTAAACACAATACATTTGGGTTGGGCAAGAGCTAGGGGGTGGACTTCTATGTAAATTGCTTGGTGCAGAAATCAACACTAGGGATCAGCTTATCCCTATTGATCTGAGTGCAAACTAGTTCACATTACTGATATGCCATATATAGCTTCTTACTATATTAAACAAAAGTCAAGTCACCATAAATGGCAAATCATTAACAATGTGGAACTTATAAAACATGTTGACCAAAATCAAATCTAAATACCTCTTGTTCAAGCTCACATGCATCCCGGATATCTTAGTCCATTATTACAAAGAACAAAGACAAAGCATATGTGCCATTCCTAGCTGCAGGGAACACAGCTTTACATGAAAAGGAATGTCCTGTACATGAGATGTCTCCCAGTATCGGGTGGGAGAATCAATATATGTAATCCTTACCCCTGCATGCAGAGAGGAAGTCTCATAGTTTACTCATGTTTTTATTTGCATAGGTAAATAAATGAGGACCATAACAAGCCATTCTAGAATTCAAGAGATGAGGTTAGCAAATATAAGGAAAGAAACAACCACCATACATGTACAACCATATGTAGGCATTGTGATAAAACTGTAAATGGAATAAGTTGGGTGCAATCAGAATCCTTCATAATAATATTATTCTTCTCCTATCATATATGACAATCCCATAGCTAAAAGTTTGTATCCAAGCATATCATCATTAGATCATAAACTCTTATTATGGTATATCAATTTTCTCAAAACATATGCAAAATACCATTACTATTATTTAAAAGAATAAACAATATCAAATTATGGTTTTCCACTCAATTTACCTAATACTCAAATGATTAGATGAGGTCATTAACCAAATTATTGGATTAACATGCTCGTCAATATCCAACTAAAATTGGATGGATTATCATTCAATCAGGTCATATCAAATTGATTAATAGTCCTGGATACTGTATTTAGTATCTTACAATTCTATCACTTGTATGGGAATAAACGGTGCCACAAACAGCGAAAGCAATCATAAAATGGATGACAAACTGCATGAGGCCCCTACAATGCAAGCTCTGAATTGCCCCCCACAAGGGATGGGCATGCTTTTACCAGTCAGACTCGAAGTTGGAAAAGAGCAACCTTATGAGAGCATCAACAATCACTCTCTAGGAAAAGGCAAACATGGAACCAAAAGACCCTGTGAGATAGTAGATATATTATATTGTATATTTACAATATTAAAAAGAAAATAAACTTCTCTAGCAAAATAAATCCAATTGAACCAATAAGAGTTGTTTACATGCGAATCTAATTAAAGCACATAATGATAAAATACAAAAGACAAAAAGAAACATAGGAAGTTCAACCGAAATTTCTTTCATGGAGATGTATGGAAGTTCAAACATTGTAGTAGCCAAGAAGGAATTCTTCTAAAGAGAAATATCAATGTAAAGAATGTGGAAGAGCCTGGCTTCAGGAGTAAAATCAGAATAATTTTATCTGTAACATGAGCCATGGTGAGTACTGAGTACCGATTCCATAATGTCAAAATTGCACGCAGAACTAGGACATGTGGCATACATAACCCACAGAAATAATGAATCCGAGTAATTAAATAAGTTCTGGTTTAGGTGCAATGCTCAGATACTACAGGCTAAACATTCAGGAAAATTTTGATTGTCGTAATAAATATGTTTGAATTGTTTCATTTGAAAGAGCAGTTGCAGTAACAAAAGAACACTAACCGAACAAACAATCTACCCACAATAATCACTGTGATGGACTTTCTTAATGTTGAGATATTTACCAATTTTACACGTTGGTAATACACATTCAAGAAAGCATTTTCTTCTTAGAGACATTCAACTTAAATGGCATGAATGACAACCAATGCTTGAAATTGAAAAACCCATCCATAACTAAGATAAGAAAGTTAGCTATTTCACTAACCAGTACCCGTTCCTTGCTACAATATAATCTTCACTGTTGGATAATTTTCGTTTTGAAATTATACATGTCAAACAGTATTCCAACAAATGCAACCTAATTTATTACATCCAATCGTATTTCTTGATCTGATCCATGCAAAAGACTTGAAACAACTCAAATATAACCATGGAACAATAACTTATCGATCAACTAGGATAAAACTGCAGGTACCTATATCACCATTTACCAAAAGGAAAAGAAAAGCCGTCCCACAAATTTCATGAAATTTCTATCCCTGCAGATTCAGAATAAAAATCTCCAAAGACTAGCAAAGCCACAATTCAGGCATTCATTAGAACACAATCACAACACTGATATGAAATCAAAGGTTTCAACTTCCTTCTGCATGGGAACTTCGAACTCCATAAACTAGTCAAAGATCCAATCTTTCCTACCAATCTCAATCCAATTCAACCATCAGACATCAGAAAATCAAAAAATAGGGCAAAAATACTTATGCCCACAATTGCCACCAAAAAAATCAGTAAGAAGTATTTCCTGGAAGCGCACAAACTCAGGATTCAAAGAAATGACAAAGATCATACGGCGTCAAATGTAAAGAAGGGAAAAGAAGGCAATCAAACAAAACCAAACACCACAAATTCGGGGAAAACGGTAGGTTGCCTCGACGGCGGAGGCCTGAAGAAGCCTTTAGCTAAATCCCACCTTTGATCCGCGTCTCTTCGGAGCGATGGAGACCGAAGAATCGTGTGGAGATCACAAGACGTGCACGCCCTGCCCTTCCCCCTTGTAGGCCTTCTATGCGGGAAAGAAACCGGTTAAAGCCGGTCGCCAACCATGTCATCTACCCGTGACTGTCGGTTTCCCCCTCTCGCTCTGGTTTTGGCCTCAGTTTGATCACGACCGTCCGCTTGATTGCCACGGCTGATGCTAGCCGTGGATCGTATTTAATTTCTCCAAGACTTAGCAAATTCACCAAAAAAAAAAAAAAGTTTCACATTATTTAATCCCACCATATAAATCAGTTCAAGATTTCTATCAAGGAAATTATTTTTTAGTAACAAAATAGTTAGTTTTTTATCACAAATTTCTTGTAAGTAAAATATTTGTGGCTAAATATTTATTTTTATTGACATTTTCTGATTGGTAATTGTTCTATAAAAAAAAGAGGATATTCTTCCCTCAAATTGGTTAACTCAAAAGACCAGGAGCAGAAAATTAGATTGATTGAAACTTGTCTAACCATGCATCACATTCTTGTTATTTTACTAACCATGATTCATGAAGCCAATCCCAGATATCTCTTGCCAACTAAATCCTCTCCCAACCCTCTGTTAAATGTAATATTAGCTGAGCAACAAGCATAACTCTGTTTTAACACATAGTTGGGAGCACTATAAGCCAGCAATCACTCACAGAAAGACTCATTTCTGCTGCTAAGAATCAAACGTGAGTGTGTGCCAACATGCTACAGATCACTGGATCAGCAGTTTGGCTTTTGGACCAGCACAACTCCAAGAGCGACAATGGAGGCATACACAAAATTGGGCGTTCTCTGCGCCACCTTGCCCACGACCGGAAACCCCTCGGTGGCCCTCTTGGCCAGCAGCGCTATTGTCGGCACCAACACCAGTCCAATCAGTAGATTTTGCCCCACCGACCTCACGGTATCGGCCGTAAGCTTCCTCATCAGCTCTGCGAACTCCTCGCGGTCGAGCAAGCCGTCCAGGTTGATGTCGTACTCCTGCACGAAGATAAAGCGTCGTCTGAAGAACTGTAACGATGGAAGGAGGAGGAGAGTTGCAAACCAAGCTGACCTCCATCATTGCTTTCAGCTTCTCCTTCGAGGGGGGGTCGTTGTGAGGCCCCGGGAGGAACTTGTTGATGTCACTGCAAGGAGCAAGCAGCAGGAAGAGGGTCATCATCGATTCTTCCTTAGAGAGAGTGTGTGAGAGAGCAGGGAGATGGTACTTGTAGGCGTAGAGGACGGCGATGTATAGGTCTTGGAAGGTGAGCCGGTCGTCGTGCGAATCGGTTCTGATGCGGTCGAAGGCCTCATCAGCAATCTTCCTCAGCTGCCTCTCGCGCCATCCGTTCCCTGCTCCTGCTCCTGCTCCTGCTCATTCAAAGGCGAATAACTCTTAGAAGGAAAGTGAGAGAGGTTTGGGACGAGAAGATGGAGAGAAAGGGCACTCACGTTGGAACTTGCCTCCGATGGAGGAGAAGAGCTGACCCATGGTGCAGTCGAGGGCAAAAGAACTGAGAGAGAGAGGGGGATGGGGAAGAGATAAAGAAATATGTTACCTTGAAGCCAGTGAACAGCTTACACGCGGCAACAATTGGCAGCACCGGAAGCTAAATATCTGAACCGTAACAAAACACGATCAAATCCAAAGAGATAAAGAAATATATATCTAAAGGGATAAATTTCAAAAAAAAAAATCTGTTTTTTAAAATATTTTCTCGGCCTCCTATTTTCAGAATTCTCCAACTACGTTTTCTTATCTTTTTATCTAATACCCGAAATACTTCTAAGAGTACACCAATTCATATTTTTATACTATATGATAATATTTTTAATAATATTTAAAAAATATTATATTATTATAGTGTGTTTTAGTGTTCTCTAACATGTTGAAAACAAAAACACAGTGTTACAGTGTTTTTTACTGCATAATAGTGCAGTGCTTTTCTAATATTATTGAAAACGCTATACCCCAACATGAAACACTATAAACATAATAATGTTTTTATAAAATTTATAAAAAATATTATGTTATAATATTTTTATACTGCATTGTAATATTTTTTATATTACTAAAAACACTATAACATAATATAAAAATATTATAATTAGGCCGTTAATTTTATAAACAGATCCGTAGGAAAAAGGAGGAAAACAATATTCTAACTATTAAACAAAAAAAAAAATTAAGGAGGGAAATGAATATTTTAACTATTAAACCCAAAAACCTAAGATTTTTTCTGGAAATTCGTCCTATAGAAATTTTATTTTTTATAATATTATTAATAATATTAACTAAATAGGCTGTTAAAAAAAAAAAACCCTTGCATCAGAAATTCACCTTTTTTTAACTTCAACCAGGAATTGAGATCATCTTGTGTGCAGCTGCATCAATGAACAGGAACTGTTCTAGCAGAAACTTATAAGTTCGAAGGCAAGACTGCACTAGAATACAATTACTTTGTCAACTCAGAAGCAAAAGGGGAAGAGAGGAACAGATGGAAGAACTCGAGTCTGTTGAAGGTGGCTAAGGAGATTAGCAACTATTCAATCTGCTGAACTGGAATCAAACTCAAACTTGTCTGTCACGGATACCCAGATTCCACTGAAGAACAACGGGGTGCAACAATTACACACACATTTGATCAACACACATAGTTTCTTGCAGATAGAATGCAAATTTACTAAATTACAGTGACAAGATCCGAAGCTCATTAATCTTTAACATGAATCATGCTATGAAAACATACCTCCAGTCCAAACGTTGGTAAAGATTACAACTTTCGAAGATGCTTTCCACGGTTTAAGCAACATATTGTTCGAGAAAGACCCAAATCCGGTAAAACAATCTGACCTTTCACGAGTAGAGAGATCGGCACGAGGAACAGAAAGAAAGCATACGGTAAGCAAAGAAAAGACTCGCGATTGGATCTTTCGGGAGAGGAGATCCCGCGACGCGGAGCCGCGGAAGGTCGAGATAGATGGTCGCCCTCCGGCTCCGATTCAGTTGGTGCAAGGCGGGATCCGGCCCGTCCGTGGGCGGATCCGGGCGGCCCCGACCTGCACCAAGCGAACTAGAGGCGGCGGCGTCCACCGTCGACGGCTGGAGGAGGGTGAGCAGGGCGGATCGAGTGGCCCGGCTAGACCGCAAGAGTCGTATTCTCCGCCAGTTAAGCGCAGAGTCTTACGGCAATCGACGGGCCATGTGGCAAATCAATCACCTTTTCCAGGGAAAAAGAAATAAAAATCATTATTTGAGCCTATTTAATATGTTAGATCACCTTTTTCAGTTCTAACTCTTTTCATTTGTATAATTAATATTTTTCCAACCTGATTATGTAAATTATATGATTAAAAATATTCTTTTTATGTGATTTAGTTGGTATATTTTCATCATCGAAAAGTACACTGTGATGAAGTGCTCCAAACACCCAATAAATTTTTAATTAAATATTAAACTTATTAATATATATGGGATGAATTTTTGAAAAAAATTCTAAGTTTGATATTTTTTATAGAACTTATCAATTTTAAATTTTTTTTATGGAGCACCCTTGATAATGTTAAAAAAATTATTTTATTCCTATTTTCATCGGATCCAAACGTCATCTTTCACCTTGTATTAACGAATTATTAATAAATTGATTTGATTAATTAATCCATCGAATCTAAATTTTGAACTATCTTTAAAATTAAACTCTCTTACATTGACTAATATATGAGGCTAAATATGATATATGAAAATTTTAGTAGCTTAACATATTAAAATCATAATAATTAAATATTAAATCTCGGATTTTGATGATGAAATCAATTGATGAATTAATGATCTAATCCATGTGTTGAGATAAGTGATACAAAACTAATTATGATCGTGAAAAAGGTAAAACAATTAAAGAAGAATCGAATGTTAGATCAAAGTCAATGATCAAGTAACAGGTTGGATAAATCAGGGGATACATCGAAGGATCGGATAATGCAGTGAAAGCTTGCTAGAAATTTCCCGGGATTTCACCAAAAGCTCGTCTAAAGTTCGCCAAAAGCTCACCGAAAGATTGTCGGGAGTTTGTCGGAGGTTTACCGAGAGTTCGGTTGAACAATTAACGTGTCAGATAACTTAGATTTCTTGTTTCGTAATTGTTTTAGCCTTAACTATCATAGTTAGAACTTTAATTTGAGTTAGTTTTGGGATAAATCCTACTAACTCAATTAGGGGCCAACTAGGCCCAAAATAGGGGTGAATTGGGCTAGTTGGATGGCCCATTCAGCCACTTGGAGCCACGTCAGGCGGTGGCACCACCCAGACTAGGCAGTGGAACTGCCTAAGGCTCGGCTTCCCAAGTGGTTTGGGCGGTGGTACCGCCCAGACTAGGTGGTGGTACAATTGACAGTTAATGCTACCAAGCGATGATATCACTAGAGTCCAGTCTTTGAGGTTTTGTTAGGTGATGGTAACGCCTAGACTAGGTAGTGGTACTACCCAATAATGACGGTGGTACTGCTAGTACCTCGGAAAGAGCAACGAAATACCCCTCTTTCCTACATCAAAGTGCAACAAAATAATGGCGGTGGTACTTTTTGGCTTCATTTTTTAAGCCATTGGGGCCTATAAATACCCTATTTTTTCCTACATAAAAGACCAATGAAACTGTAAATAAAAGTCTTGAGATTTTGAGTTTTAAAAATATTGAAAAAGTGCTAAGTATCCTCTTCGTTCTTTAGTTTTGTGATCATTTTAAGAGGGGTGTGATGTTTGTAAAGGTTGTCTCCTAAACCTATGAAAATGAGAAAGAATTGTAAGAGGGTAGTTGATATTCACCTATCGAAGAAAGATTATTAGTGGACGTCAGTGGCCTCAACAGAGGAGGAATCAGGAGTGGACATAGGTCACGATGACTAAATCACTATAAATTCGGTTTACAATTTCTTTCTGCGTTTCATTGCTATTATATTCTGAGTTAATTGCTTAGTTCACTTACTCCAAGTCAATCACACTTTCATTATCATTTTCACCGAACAAAGATATTCTAAAATTGATTTTTATCGAAAGCACTAATTCACCCTCTCTCTTAGTGCCAACTTGATCATAACAATTGATATCAAAGCAAGGTTACTCTCTATTTGGTCTAAAACCCAAGAGAGATGACTTTCACTGTTAATAAAGAGGGTCATTCTATCACTTATCCTCCTATGTTCAATGGGACGGACTACATATATTGGAAAACTAGAATGAGAATTTTCTTGCTCTATGAATTTCGAGTTGTGGAACATTGTTGAAAGCGGTTTTGAGAAGTCTTCCAAACCAAAGAATGAATGGAATGATTTGGAAAAGAAGACTTTCTCTTTGAATGCTAAAGCGATGAATGCTTTATTTTGTGCTCTTGATAAAAATAAATTTAATCGAGTTTCTATATGTGAAACTATTGAATCTCGTATTTTTATGATGAAACCACTTGATATATGTTTATGATTTAATCTGCGTTTTGAGTGACGCAGGATGCTTCAATCAGGTTGAGACAATTAAAGCAGGAAAATCATGTTGGGCCAGAGGAACAAGTCAGAAGATTGGACGTCAGGCCGGTGGATCGGTCAACGTATCGACAGAAGGCTTCGGGCCGTGGATTCGGGCATCGGGCCAAGAAGAGCGGGTATTGCGCCAAGGATATCGAAGTTGCAGAGTCAACTGGCCGATTGGGCAATAGGCTGCAAGAGAGGACGATGCGCCGAAGAATCGGACGAAGCGTCGAGGGACCAATGAGATGTCGGACAACTTGATTAATTACTTAGGAGCAATTGTCTAGATCGAAGTTTTGTTTTACATGTGCAAGATTAACTACGATAGCTTGAAGATATAAAGCAAGTCTACTAGAGTCAAGTTCGATGGGTGTTCGAAGTCCGTCGAGAGTCCGAAGATTCATCGAAAGTGTTGCCAGAACCAACCGAGAAGAAATTGGGGACTTGTCAAAGTTTTCGGAAGTCCGCCGAAGAGATCGTCGGAGGTTCGCAGAGATCACCGAGAAGGCTCGCCTACTTGCCAAAGACTCGCTGAACTCGTCACAAGATTGGGAGCCTGCTGGGAGTCCGCCGGAAGAAATCCGAGGGTGTATCGGAGGTCCATTGGAAGATCGCTAGAAAGCTCGCCGGAAGGAAACTCGACGTTGCCGGTTAAAAGATCTGCTTAGGATTATGTCTTGTTTTCGTAGTTTGCATGTAATTATGGTTAGTATTAAGAAATAATCCTATATCCTGGTTAGGGGCCAATTGGGCCCGAATATGACCTGGTTTGAGCTAGATTTGAAGCCCAACCAGTGACCCGTACGGTCGAGTGGTGGCATCGTTGGACTGGGCGGTGGCATCGCCTAGAACCCAAAGGATCGGGTGGTGGTACCGTTGGGCTGGGCGGTGGCATTGCCCAGAACCCGAGAGGTCCGGTGGTGGCACCGCTAGTACACTGTCAGTGTCAGATACTGACAGGCGGTGGCACCGCCAGCATCGGAAAACCCAAAAGTAATTCAAATTTAGAAGCCAAATTTGAATCCTCTTGGGGCCTATAAATACCCTTCAATTCTCACTAGAGAATACAACCTTTGAGAAGTTAGAGATTGAGATAAAGCCTTAGCAAAGTCTTTAGCAAGTCTTATTTTCAATAGCTTGAGTGTTCACCTCCCTCTTTCTCTTTGAAAATTTGTAAGAGTGTGAACCACTTGTAAAAGGTTGTAAGAGAGGTATTTGTCCTTCCCCTTTAAAGTGATTTGCTAGCGAAAGTTGGGAGCCTCATCGAAGAAGGCTTCGCAAGTGGATGTAGGTCATTTGACTGAACCACTTTAAATTGATGTGTCCCTTGAATGTGTGAGTGTTTACCTTTCAGAAACCGTTATTTACATAACAGCAAGCTTTTAGTTTTCATCCCCTTACTTTACTCAAGCTATTTTTACTAAGTCATTTTTTGTTGAATTGAAATCTCTATGCATTTACGAAATCGTTTTCAAACTTACGAGTTTTAATCCGCTGCACTAATTCACCCCCTCCCTCTTAGTGCCGCTTCGATCCTAACAATTGATATCAGAGCCATGGTTTTCTACTTTGGTTTAACACCCAAATAGAAAGGAATCTTTTCGGCCTTCAAGAGGGTTACTCTCTCATTTATCCTCCCTTTTTCAATGGGACAGACTACACTTATTGGAAAACTCAAATGAGAGTTTTTTTGCTTTCTTTGGATTTGAATTTATGACACATAGTCAAAAATGGATTTGAAATGTCTTCTCTTCCAATAAACCATTGGAATGATTTGGAGAAGAAGATGTTTTCTCTAAATGCAAAGGCTATGAATGCCTTATATTGTGCACTTGACAAAAATGAATTTAATCGTGTTTCGATGTGTGATTCAGCTTTTGATATTTGGAGAACTCTTAAGGTCACTCATGAAGGCACTAGCCGAGTGAAAGAGTCCAAAATCAATATTCTCGTGCATTCTTACAAACTTTTCCGGATGAAACCAAGTGAGTTCATCGGAGACATGTACACCCGTTTCACAGATATCATTAATGAACTTAAAGCTCTTGGTAAATATTTTTCTAACTTTGAACTAGTAACTAAAATTTTAAGATCCATTCCAAAGAGTTGAGATCCAAAAGTTACAGCCATTTAAGAAGCCAAGAATCTTAAAACATTTCCACTCGAAGAACTAATTGGGTCTTTAATGACCTACGAAATGAACAATGTGACAAAAAGAAAACTCGAGAATAATCTTCCAAAGGACAGGAAGGATTTGGGATATAGAACACATGAAGACCACTCGAGCATAAGCTCAAGTGATGGTGAACTTAAACTACAAATGAAACAAAAATTAAAAAGCAAAAAGAACGAAACTACTTGCTTTGAATGCAAGAAGAAAAACAAAAACTGGGATGAATTGAGCTCCTCCGAAGATGACGAGAAAATCAAGAAAGGCAAGGTGGCAAACTATGCCTTAACGACTTTCAACGATGAGGTAATCGAAACTCCCTTAATTTATTTTGAAATTACTTGATGTTTTTCATGATGTATTTTCTTTTTTTTGAATAATTATTTTTCTTGAAAATTACATGTTTTATGTTAATAGAATAAAATGTTAGATTTAAATCTAATGATCATATGTATGTTTTTCTTAAGAAGAAAAAATGTGTATCTTGATGATTTTCGATTTTGATTGAAACCATGCTTGATGTCTTA